TAGATAGATAGATAGATAGATAGATAAATAGATAGATTAGAGTGATAGAATGATAGAGAGACAGGCAGATAGATTCTAGACACACAGACAGACAGACAGACAGACAGACAGACAGACAGCCAGCCAGGCAGGCAGGCAGGCAGGCAGGCATGCAGGCAGGCAGACAGACAGACAGACAGACAAAGAGAGAGATAGAGAGACAGAGAGACAAAGAGACACACACAGAGACACACACACACACAGAGACACACGCACACACACACACACACAGAGACACGGACACAGAGAGAGAGAGAGACGCACACACACACACAGACATATATATATATATATATATACACACACATACATACATACATACATACATACATACATACATACATACATACATACACATACACATACACCCGCACACACCATGTCTCGTATTCTTCTTTTCAGGCATGGGCATTTGTTCTTCATTCGCACTTATTTCTTCCGTTCGTTCTTTCTTGCTCTCTCTCTCTCTCTCTCACTTTCTCTAGAACGGCACAAATTCCAAGCAATATGGCCTCCTCAGCATAAGACCCCGCAGTATTTGGAGCACTAGCTCCGCAAACATTCTGACACATGCGTTCCTGACATTTTGATGATGAGGCGCGGAGCGCTTCGCACCAAGAGCCGTCCCCACTCCAGGTGCGCAAGCGGCCGACGCAGATGGCTTTGCAGTTGCAGCATCATGCCTGCGAGCCTCCAGTGGAGATGTCGGTAGTCTTCGTAGTAGTGGTGGTTCAGTGTGTTGAACAGGGCCATCCAGAAGTAGAAGCAGTGATCCCAGAACGGCGCAAACACCTCTGGCAACCAAATTTTGCGGCTGAACGTTTGGGAATCTAGGACCCTAGGTGGCACTGTGTTTGCCACTCGTAGGACCTCCAATTACCACCTCCCGAGCTCGTGTGAGATGAGTTGTGAGATTTGCACTGAGTCCTTAACTTCGTGTTTGGGGTGGATAACTGAGCGCGGCACAAACGCCAGCTGGCTCCATGTGGCCTGCAGTCCGTGAAGCGAGCTGGGTCTATCAGGCTGTTATATATATATATATATCCACGCACCCACACACGCAAGCACGTACGCACGCACGCACGCACGCACGCACGCACGCACACGCGCGCACACGCGCGCGCGCGCGCGACTTACTTACCCTTACACTTCAATTTCGTGGTCTCCAGCAGCAAGGGAAGGACCTGCAACAAAGATATCCCCACCTCGACTGGAGACTCCAACAGCCCACTGTCCTGCATACTGGATTCAGTCTCTTGAAATTCTCTGCAGCATCCCTTTGCGAGAGTTTTCGACAGGGCGTGCAGTCTCCTGGCAAGCCACCAGGCAAGTCTGAGAGGCACCGAAGTGATGCTCCTCAGAATGGCAGAGTATGGCAACAAATTGCAAAAACTATGAGTGACAAGATCGGAGATCTCAAGCCTTGTGCCAGCAGCTGTAGAAGGGCTGCACGTGGAGCAGCCGATGAATCGAGAAATACCTCTAAGAATTACAGAGGAGCACAGAAGCATCGGTCAGGGAGCGGGTGAGTCAACTCGTGCGGTGTACTGAGACAGCTCTGAGGCGCAGGATGGCCTTCACTCCGTTCCTGAGAAGAGCAAACTTGAGAGCGCAATTGAGAGTCGAGACCTGTTCTGAATCCTCGTTTCACTGAGACTCCAGTGATGCACACACCCCACAAACGAGCGGCAAGCATGGTCATGGCCAACTTCTTTTCCCAAGCCTATGTAGGCCAACGACAGAAGTGTTTGCAACATTTTCTGTGTTGTCATCCCCAGCCCAAAGAGAAGGGTGAAGGCAACCCGGAGCCCAAGCGGTGCAGCTAATTTACCTCAGGACCATCCCAATCTGTCCGAATCCTTGTTGGAAATCGTTTGGGTGGGTCCGAGCATCCCGAAGGACGCCGTGCAGGAACGCAGGCCAAGCAGCAGGATGATGCCCAGCCTCATGATTTGGGTTGTTCTGAAGTGAGAGAAGTCCGTTGAAAAAGGGGGCATCCTGAAAAAGCAAAGAGGAACCCAAGCTACAGATCTAATGTTCTTGTGGACAGGTGCTTTGAACAACTGGTAACTACCATGTGATTTCTCGAGCTGCTGCTTCGTTGCTGAAGCCCTCCTGTGCTGTGTGTGACGCATTGTGCATTGTGAAGGAGCTATGCAGGCTTGACTGTGGGACGAGGCATGCCCTACGTGTGCTCTCGTCGCTGATGCAGCACTGGCTTCGCCGCGACTCGGTTGCAAGCTCTCGCCGGCAAGGCCCTAAGGATCGTTTTAAGGACACATAGCCACACTGCTCGTGACCTGTGGCCCGCAAGCTGGCCATGAAGATCTCTAGATGCACTCCGCAATCCTGGATCGCAACGGGGGGCTGAGATCAGATGTTTCATTCGAGGACCTCCTTTTGTAGTGAGGTACATATATGCAGTATATACATACAGCAGAAACACATACCAACCGATATTGGAGCGTCTTCACACCTTGAATGCGAGCCAGTGGCGGTGACCAGCATGGAGGGCTGACCAAGTAGGCCGCCTGCAGTGGTTTTGAGTTTCCATTGTTTGTGATACAGGTTCAAACATTGGGGTTCAGGAGTTGTGCTTTTGGCTAACACGGCCGCGGTGGATGGCAGTCAACCCAAATGGCAAGTTCGATTCTGAGGTGGCCCTACTTTGTTTTCGACTTGTCGCTCGCACTGCTGCCCACGGATCCGACGAAGGACGTGCTTCTCAAGGGAATTCCGCAGTGCCTTCTTACAAATGCGAATACCAACCCTTCTTGCTCCCGCTTAGCCTCATGGGCTCAAGGCCTGGAGTTTGTGCCTTCATAACCCAATCGTTTGCTCTGCACCCTCGTTGGGCCCAGCTTTCTGGCAGGCTACTGCTGTGCTACTCCGACTCCTGCTTCTCTGCTACGACAATTTTTGTTGGAGCTGGACTATTTTCTATATGACTGTTATGCCCCTTCTTAATAATTACTACTAGATGACCATGACCGACTTCCTCTATTACTAGAACGCAACAATTAACACGATAACTTCGACAACTACCACGAGTATCCTAGCTATTACTGATTCTTCAAGCAACTCATTGTTCATAGTGCTCGTTTCCTACGATGACTGTAACAACCATTGACACTCTGTAATTCTATCCTGATTCCTGCTCATGCTCTTTCTGCCTCTGCAGACTTACCGTTTTTCCGACAACCCCGCCTGAGCACAGCGGCGCAGCGCAGCGTTTCCCAACCAGAAGCCCACTATGGAATAGGAGAACCTTTGAAGGTGAAATGACTCTCTGAAGTTCTAATCACAATCAAACAAACACACACACACACACACACACACACACATACACACTGACCGACACACAGACACACACTCTAAAATTCAAAAGCACAAAACAAAAATACACCCACCCACCCACCCACCCAC